TTGATTGAGTTGATCAAGAAGTCTTGAAATCAAAGATAGAAGATATATATTCTTGATAGTGATCTTGTTGACTCCTTGATAGTCTACACATATCTATAATAATCCATTTTTTTCTTCACAAATAAGATACAAGCCTTAACTAGAGATTTAGAATAATACATGAAATTTTTAGCCAAGTTTTCATTAATATATTTGTTGAGTGCAATCAATTTATTTTGTGATTGGCTATTGATTGGTCTAAATGGTAGTTGAGCTCCTTCGTGAAGATCAATGGAACAATCTTAAAGATGATGCTATGGAAGAATATCTACATTCTTCTTTCCAAAAATGTCTTGAAAATCTTTATAGTAGCTAAGAATATCACTTGATGTCTTTTTGTGATAAAAAATGGACGTGGCATACAAAGCAAAAGATAATCCTTCTTTTGTAGCATTCATAAAAGCTCTCGAATTTATTAGTAAGAGTTTAGATGTACTAGACTTATGTATTTTTATTTGACTAATGAGGTTTAGGATTAGACTATCAAATCAATTAAGATTATGAGAAATTCAATCTATTTGAAGATTATACTTTTATAATCAAAGTAATCCTAAAATAATTAGATTGAAGTGAGATTTTATTACATTAAATATTACTATACTATTATGATCTTTAATTACTGTATCTAAAGGAACAATCTCATGTATAACATCTTGAAAAGATAGCAAATGACCATCTATGACTTCTACATATATCGGTTTAGTTTTTTTGATTCTTATTTTTAGATAAAATCTTTATCTACAAAACAGGCTAAGGCTCTTCAATCTAACAAAGCTAAGATTTTGTGATTTTTTGGTCCTAAATAAACTTCTCTTATAAAACATAGTACAAGATGTGAAGAAAGAATAAGACCTTTACTAGAAGTTATACAAGATTTAAGTTTCATGGTGCCTATTATAATTAGAAAAACTTATTTTTTGATACATTGTCTTCTTTGGCAACCATGTTTTTTAATTTATGATTGCTTTGTTTTTTTGGACAATGTTCAGCAATATATTTAGCTTTTTTATAATATAAGCATTATCCTTCTTAACGTCGTCAAGTCTTTTGTTGCTTTGTAAGGAATTTGAAATATACCGTATCAATTTGCATTGATTTTGGCCTCAATGAACAAGTTTCTAAAAACTTAGAAACTACCTTCATTATTTAATTTATTCTTCTCTAGCCATATTTTTGCTCTTGACGTCTTTTAAATAATTGATTATTACATACAATGGCTTAAGAAAAAAATTATTCGAAAGATTTTATCTTTGATATTGTCAATAATAAAATCTTTGATATTATCCTTCAATTCATATCAAAATTGATTGATATGGGCTTTGTCATTCTAATCCACATTGCAAGCAAAGTTTTAAAATTTAGCAACATATATGATGGTTGATTGTGATTCTTATTGTAAAGATAAGAGCTTGATTTCTGCTACTCTTTCTCAATCACTTTCTTCAAATGTAATTGTAAATACTTCTAAAAATGAATTCAAATCATAAAAGAATTACAACTTCTTTCTATGAAAAGTACAAACTAAGAAAGATCACTTCTTGATAGAAGTATTCCTATGAATCTAACTTGAATAAATCTAGTGGGATATTAAAAGAGATGCAACCTTAAATAGAACTTGACTTGTTGCAAAAATCCTCAAAATTTTGATCTTGTTCCATCAAACTTCTCAGGCATAGTAATCCTTATCCTTGTTATAGTTGTAGAAGCAAAACTTTTTGGATTTAGTTATGAGATCGATCTACTTCTTTCCTTCAATTGTACAAATTTTTGCCACAAACTCGAAACTTCTTTCATAGGTATAGGCATAGTACCTCCATGATTCACATTGAAAATAGGTGCAATTTCTAATCTTCTAGTGTTGACAAGCTCATGAAGATCTACAATAGTTACAAATCTATTCTCACTTTCATTGAGAGTAGCATGCATAATCTTTCTTTTCATAGACAATTCAAGTAAATTCAAAAAATTAAATTACAAGAAGATAATTTGCAACTTCTAATACTAAATAAAAATTTCTACAAAGAGGGATAATTTACATACTTTAAGAAAAAGATCAGTCTTAAAAAATAAGTTTTTTTGTTTAAAGGTGAATATTGTGCAATCTTTAAAATAAAATAATAGAAGTGGGATAATCCTTTCACTTTTAAAATAAGATACAAACAAAAAGTTAGCACTCTTGTCAAACTATCAAGGACATAAATCTCAAAGAAAGAGAATCCTCAATAAACTCTTGTGACACTGAAAGGAACTAAAAAGTCACTCAAAGATGTTATAATATTGAACTAGAATGGCTATTGCCAAAACCAAAAAGACTAGAAAGTCTTGAAATAAGACTAATGATAAGAAAGACATTAATAAGAGCGAAGAAGGCTTCACTCTTGCTTCTATATATATTCTTAACTAGGAGCTACATGGTGATATCCAATAGGACCTTTAAAATGTGTTGACTTTGGAAGACATGTATCTTAACTTATAAGACAAGTTTTCTACATGTGCAATACATAATTAGCTTATTTCATATACTACCATCATGTAGTTAATTTGTTGATCAAGTTTCTAACTTACCAATTAATTACAAACACATGTAAAATCAAAGCAACATCTATAAAGCTTTTAAAAAGCTTTTTTAGATGGTATTATGAAATTAATCTATTTTTATCTATTTTTATCTAATCATATAGGTATTTACTAGAATACCTATGTATATTCATGATAAGTTATTATAATATTTAGATAATTTTATTTTTAAAATATTAGCATAATTACTTAATTTTAATTAAAATTTATTATTTAGTATTGATTTGTATTTTTTCAAAGATATAATGATTAATCATTGCTTAGAGTTTGTTGGTTTTTAAAGCCTATATGTAATAAATCTTTTAAATCTAAAAGCATTTAGATCCATACACTTTGTCAAGATAGAAGAATATTTGATTTGTATTTTTGAGGCTATTTATCCAAATCTTAAATTATGGCACAGTTGATATTATTAAATTTTTTTGTGTATGAGTCTTTTTAAAAATAACCTATTTTAAAGTGTATTAGTGGTACTAATTTTCTTCTTCAACTTTACAAGTTTCAATGTTAGTTAGATTGTTAGAATTACTTTTTATTGTTGATGATCTTTTCTGCCTATTATTTGTTTTTAGACTCTTTTCTATTAGATGCAAATAACACGGTTTTTTTAAGGACCAAAAATTAGGCATGGTTATAAGAAAGATATAAAAATGAAGTTAAAATATTTTTAACTTTAAAATTGATATTTTAAAAATAGTTTAGAAGAAAATGGGTAAAATCTTATTTTTAAATATATATAATAAGGTGGCTTTAATTAATAGATTTTTGTAATTAGCAAGGTAAATATAAAAATAAAATCAAAAATAAAGAGTAAGTAAAAGACAAACAATCACAGAGGTTTTTACTTCAAAATTAGATTTTTTTTAAATACATAATTTTAAAAAAAAGATATTTCTTTATTTTTTAAATAAAATAATTTTTATTATTATTAATAGATTATGATAATTTAAATATGAATATTATAATTTTATAAATTAAATAAATAAATTTTAATTAAAAAATAACTTGATTTAGTAGTCAATAGTGAAAGCTTGAATAAAACTTACTAGAAGTATATAGGATGTTCTAGAGAAGCTGCAAGACCTTAGTCTTATTTTCTTAATTACATCTAAGATTCTATAATTCAAATAGACATACCTTCATATTCTAGGAATGTACTTGATTATATCTTGAGGTACTACAAAGATTGTTTCAAGGTAATAGTATTGATTTACTTACATGACACCTTTAAGTCCAATTTCTAATAGCAATTTTTTTGTCTTTTTTCTCTTTTCACATAAAAATAATAATATAAAGAACTTGATAGTTGATGTTCTAAATAATAAAAATATAATGCCACCACAATAATTTTTGTTATCTACATAGCTTAATTAGGGAGGTATCTATATTTTAATAAAAGGCATATAATTGTGATAGTTATTGAGAGTTTTTTTGAATATAAATTATTTGTAATATACTTTAATAATTTCTTTGTATTCATATCCAATGATATTGATCTTAAAGAAGAGAATATGTTCTTAAGCCACAATACCATTAATTTTTAAATATTGAAGAAATAAAATAAAATAAAATAAAAATATAATCTTGATAAGCTTCTAAAACATAGAAATGTGCATCAACTTATTAGGATTTAATTTTGCCTCTTGATTGAATTTCTCTCTTCAACAATATTGATGATTTAATAGCGAGTACAAATGTAGACCATAGCAATATCAACAATTAATTCATGTAGCTGGAGTATTCGAGTTGGTCGCAGTTCCTGCTGCTCCTCACTGATGAACAGCAAGAGGAGTAGTCTGTACCCGTTGTTAATTCATGACTTGCTGGCGCACAGATCCACAAACTTAACATCGAGCATCACGATAATGCTGATGATGATGAAGCAAAGTGCGAAATGCATTGCATCTGCGAAATGTGCACTCACGGTCTCAACATGATGCTATGTGAGTCCAGAGCTGTCTTGCCATATGACAGTTAGGGATTATCTGACACTCCTTCCAGAGTAGTGCATTTGCTTGCATGACGCAAAAACAGCAGCCATCTCTGCTGTTTTGAAAACTGTTGCAGCCTCTGCGCGTCCACACTAGGAACATTAGGCTCTACCAATCCCCTTGATGAGGTTTCATTGACTGCAGCATCAGGTTGAACAGAGGTGCTCATGTTGGGAGGAGATAGAGCCGAGCTAATAGTTCCTCCAGCCTGACCCGCTTGAGCTATTTGGCTTTGTTCTTGCTAGGAACAAGTGATAGCTTGTGAGGTGAACCTTGGCTGGCAGTGCTCTGCTGGCTTGCCTGATGAAATTGCCGCTGTTGAGATTCTGGTTGCTGCACAAATTGTGCCTGCACAGACATTTGAGTAGCACCAGAACCTCGAGGTGACTGCGATTATGGCTGTTGCGATTGGTGCTGTGATTGCTCTTGCTGATGCAGTTGTTGCTGTTGTAGCTGTGAGCCTGGCTGATGTTGTTCCTGATCCTGTACACCTTGAGGTTGCTGACTTTGCCTTTGCCTCTGTTGCTGAGTCATGTCGCTGACATGTCGCTGCTGCGAAGCAAGATTCGGAAGACGATTGAATTGCTGCTGCATTGCTTGTTGTTGCACCTGTGCTTGTGTACCCTGAAAATGATAAGCCGTGATTTAGGAGGTGCTATACAGTCAATCCTTAACGGTGTTGTACTGATAAGAAATACAAATCCATAAGCATTACATTTTATAACTGTTTCGAAGCAATACATCACCAAATGTATTAAATACGGTAAGAACAAACAACAATCTTATACAAGGTTAAAAAGTACCTTCCACACATACAATATACTTAAGGCTCCTCCAACTAAGCATGCTTCATACGTGTGAAAGAACAAAATTTTGTATAAAATTTACATAGGCCTATCAGGTTTTAGTATTTAGATTGAAAAGCATTTGTGAGAATAGGCAATCCAAAAGCTTATTCCTACGAACTTTAAAGGTTCTTGCTTTAAAACCTCACCAACTATAGCATGTGTGAGAATTTCCTTTTTAAATCTCTTGCTAAGTTAGTTACAACTCGAGTACCTCCTGAGCCATATAACTCACTTTCAAAAGACCGAGCAAATACTGTGTGGTATGATTCTCTTTAATAATACTACTGCAACCAATCATAGTAAGTACATCCTGGAAACTAAGAGGAAATGACACATTCCCAAAAAATGACCGCCCTAAAAGTCGAATTACCAAGCCACAATCTATCGAATCAATCATCCTTTTAAAGCCAATTTTATTTTCTCACTTACCGGTTGTTGATGCTGCTGAGGTTGTGGTCGTAGCTGTGGCTGTGGCTCAATCGTAGTCATTTGCTGTGACGACTATCATGTAAAATAAGAAAACGAAAACTACAAGTAAATACATATTTATCAATGGAAGCCATGCAAACCCCTAATTGACTACAGCAACTGAATACACGAGCTGCTCACCTGATGCTGGCGTGTAAGCTGCTGGAACTCAAACTGTCAGTTGCGTCTGTGATGATAATGATTGCTGTTGAGACTGGTCGAACTGCAGATAAGTTCCAAAAATATATCACTACACTGGCATGGATCAAAACAAGAAAAAAAACGAAACGAAACTTAAGGAAAGACAAGATGAGGACTACTATGCACAATTAACAAAAAATGAGGGGGCATCATGTGCAAAGATGAAGCAAAAGAATTACAAGCATCAAAAGAGGGGCACTTATATCATGATACCCCAGCTTGTTTTCTGCAACCCAAGAGCGAGGATAGCTGTCCCTGGGAATGATATAAGCGCTGATTATTTGACGGCTGACCAAGCTGCTGATGCTGAAAAATCATGGCACTGTTGAATATGCTGTTGGGGAATGGCTTGTTGATGCTGTAGTTCCTGCTGTTGCAAAGTTTGCTGTGATGGCAAGCCTGGGACAGGTATCATTTTTGGAACTTGTGAATTCGCAATTGACGTCATACCCAAGTTGTTGGAAGCAAGACCTGCAGATGGGAAACTGCCTCCGGCCAGATCTGTAGCATTCATTGCATAGCTATTCCCAGTCCTAGGTGCCATAGGATTTGGTAAAGGCGCTGCATGATAGCAACCCAGTTGTGTAAGCCATTATCGTGGAAGGTGCATCCGAATTAGTGAGCGAATACTTCAATCCTTCTTGATTTATAAACGTATTAATATCATACAAGACTCTTTCATCGAGTCAAAGGAAATTGTATTAGAGCAACAAATAGAAGTCTTGATCCAATTTATAAAAACTAACAAGCCATTGTGGATAACATTCGCGTTGTACAAATCACTTCAGATCACCCGAATGGTGATACGAATTCTGACACACGACAATATAGAGGAAATTGGCATGTAAAGAGAACTCAAAAAAATGGACATACATTGAATTCGTAAAGTTTGTGGCCGTTGGTGCTGTTGCTGTTGCTGTTGAAGTTGCTGCACCTGTTGCTGGTACATACGATGATGCAAGCTGGGGTACTGAGAAGTGTTTAAGTAAGCAGTTGGCGTGTGCAAATTAGCTGTTCCATTCATCAAAAGCTGCCCATTGCTCTGCGTTATTCTGTTGTTCATGCCTCCGTTGAGTTTCCCTATAGTCGAACCGGGTTTCTGCTGCTGCGCACCACTTATAAGCCCTCCATTCAGTTGCCCACTCATGCCAACATACTTATGGTTACCTGCCCCCACTCCAAACTGCTGCTGCTGCTGTTGCTGCAATTGTCCTGTCCCAACGCCAGCATGTGGAAGTCCCAAGCCAGCTGATGACACAATGGATATTTCCATTCCCTGAGAAGAATTGAGCTCCGGAGTAGGAATCATTTGGCTACCAACTTTCATACCCAAGCTGGATGGTATATGTCCATTCTGAGCCATTCGAGCGTTGCCTAAGGCGTGTTGAGAACCCAAAGAAGGATTAGAGCTGGAAACACCGAGAAAGGGCAAAATGGTGCTGCCAGACATGTTCCACATGTTTTGCAGTTCAAGAATAGGTCGCATGTTACTGGAAGTACCTGGTGTTGGCATAATAATTCCGGCACCACGACCCATGGTGTTTAAAACATTACTGTTACTTCCTGAAGTAGGCATCATGTTATTAATACCTCTAACGATTCCAGCTCCTGACTGGATCAGGTTTCCTGTGCTCTGAGACGTGAGCATCGAGGAGCTCATGACGCCAGTAGTGGGCATTATGGTGATCCCATTCTAGGGAGTCGGCATCATGTTAGATGCTGCTCCAGGAGTTGGCATCATGTTATTCATGGAAGTAGAAGAAACCGTTGAATGTGGTTGCTGCTTAGGAACCATGAGGTGTGCCACAGACTGCAGCCGTTGCTCCAATGTTTTGAGATCTGCATATTCTTCCTTAATACCGCAAACGACATCAAAATTTATGATTCAGCAAACTTGCATCTACTCCGATACTCTCACTCACACAGGCCGTTTTAACATCGACAATAATAAGTTGGGAGGTATTCACACACAGAACGTCCTACCCAAAGATAGAAACGGTTTCTTCATAAGTTTTACAAGAAATTCTTCTACACTGAATGAACTTCCTCCTTAACACCGATCAATTGGTTTCTTAACCTGTTAGCTTAAACACAAATGCCTTGCTCATGAACACACCTTGCTGAGTGCAATTTTGTACAAAGCTTCCTCCAGCCGCTTCACAAAGTCAGAAAGCTTTTGTTGCCACTCAGGGGTCACATGTGGTTTCCTATTCTTGCACAACTGCAGTCTGTTGGATGTACATGAGAAATTCCAAATCAATAATCTTCAGATACTTGGAAACTGAGGAAATGTGGAATATATAACCACACTCAACTTATGAATGGGAATTGGAAATAGTGATGATAAAAAAAAATACAACAGCAAAACGATCCTTATTTTGCTTAACACTATCAACCACCCCAATTGTATCCGGCTTCTGCGTGTTTAGACAAGAGGACTGAACCTCTACTTCATATCTAAAATGATAGTCTCCATATCACAATTTTTTATTCGCTAACACCAAATCTCCGCTTCAGCGTTGCTGATCCAGTGACACTCGCGTGACGAGAGGTAACTGGAACTAATACACGATCATTCAGAACGAGCTCTATTGACCTCTTTTCGAGGCAAAAACAGAGCGACCTTTCTTGTGTACCACAAACTTAACTCCGATCATAGAAAAGTAGCGAAGTTGCTGGAACAAACACTCAAGGCTTCTAATGCCATATGCAACTGATGTTATTTTGGAAGTTTTTTACAATATTTATTAAATAAATCATAATAAAAATTTAATTCGACTTTGAAACCATTTCAAGGTGTTTTAATATTTTCTATAAAAGTGATTATTTAGCTCAGATACTATAAACAAATAAAAAGAAAAACTAAATCTACTCACTCTTTTATATCACAATCAGTATGGAGCTCCCATTGCCCAATCATACACTTCCTCAAATTTCTTTTTTTTTCACAATATTTAATAAACTACAATTAAATTTTTCACTTATATTAATAGTTAATTCAGCAATTCATAAAACTAATGACTCTTTTCAATAACTAATTGACACATTTAATAGATTTGTATTTCATATTAACATTAAAAATAATAAAATTCCTATGTAAGTCAAATCATACTCAATAATAAACATCATCTTTTAATATTAAAAAAATTATGCTTTCTTCATCTGATTCAATATATATATATATACATATATATACACATGATTTTTTCAAATTTTTTATTTAAAAGCCACAAAGAAATCATATATATATATATATATATATATATTTATAAATAGGATATTCACAAGATATTTACAAGACATAGGAATATTGATAATAAGATGTTGTATGATGTGATTTTCTATTTGAAAATACATTCAGTATATAGTTGTAGAGATTTTGGTTTTAACTTATTGGCTAAGTTTCAATAAATGATATATTCTTATTATACAAGATAGCAAAATATTACAATATCAAAAGATATTTTACTAATAAAATCCTTTTATATTTAAGAAACTTTGAACATAAGACTTTCTAAAGCATCTAGAAATGCCCTAACATCCTTTACTATATCAAGTCATAACTAATCATTTACTAGTAAGTTAGATTTTCAATAAGCTCAAAGAAAATCCATAATCTCCTTTCAAAAATCCATCTTTATATCATAATTTTTTCATAGCTCCATATCCCCATCTTTCATATGTATATAAAGTCTTGGCTTCCAAAAATCTCTTTATTTTGCATAAAATGTTTAAATTATAACAAACCATTTTAAAATATTTTTCTCTTGCAAAGGATTTTTTTCCCCAAACTTTAGAATATCATATCTCTTAATCTAACTATTCAATTTTTTTCAAATTTCTAGATAATGTAGACTTTATCCTTAAGCTTTATCACAAAAAAAATAAATTATAAGTCTATTGCCAATTGTTTGGCAACTTAGAAATCCTGGCACGTATTCTAAATCCTAATTTACAAGCACTTAAGTACTATTTTCTATATATCTCAAAAATCCAAAATTTAAACACCAAAAAATTTATGTATAAAATTTAGTAATATATTAGCACACATTTTTGTAAAATTTTAGCCAAAATTTTATCAAATTGCTCAAGATATAGCTCAAAACACAACCACTAGTAAATCAGGTCACTTACTACCTTTAAATTGCAAGTGTTGAATTCAACTTTCTATATCTCCTTCATTTAAAATTAAAATTTATCAAAATATATAAAAAAAAGTATAGCCAATAAAGCGCTCTCTTTGAACCTAGTTGTTGATCCTTCATTACTTTTTGTATGGATGTATTATATCTAAAAGAGTGATAATAGGTACAAAATCAATACCTTAACTTTGAGTACCTAAAATCCATTCATAAAAACTCCAAATCACTCAAAATCTCTACAAAAACCATAGCCAAAAATCTAAAATTTTTGATCTTAGTCTTTATAGTTTGAATTGCTTCAAAAGAGTAATTCTAATCTCTAACAAGGCCTCAAGTAGCCTCCTTTTAGTCTATTAGGCATGAATTTTGGCCAATAAGAATAGAGATTTTTATCATCCATCTCCATTCATCAAAGTAGTTGGCCTGACTATTCTTTTTTACACAAAAAACTTTTTTCTAATAAATTTTGTATAGTATGTGCTCTAAAAACCTAATAAAAGAAATAAAACAAGATTTCTAGAATCACCAATATCTAATAAAGATGGCTCTAAGTATATAAAAATTATTATCAACATAAAATCAACCTCAATATTAGTCCTTTTAAATTAACTACTTCAAAGTAGTAATCTAATCACCTTTATTTATCAACTAAAATCTAATAATATTGTTCTTATTACATTGTATAGTAAATTATATATTAAATATATATGTATATTATTTTCATATAGTAATTAAACTACAATACAATAATAATGATATTAAAAACTATCTCAATGTTTATACTTGTTACATTCAAAAAATTATATAGGTAAGAAAAATTCATGAAATAGAATGTAGTAAATTTATTGAAATAATACATATAATTTATTTATTTTTATAAAAATTCCAACAAAATCTAAAGACTTAGTGAAGAGACAAAAAATCCTATAGCTATTTTTTATATTGAGATAGTTTTAAACGTCCAACATAAAAATTTGTCACCACTTTATTCATTTTTATTTGACTTTAAATATAATTACTATTTATTTGAACATTGTTTCTATAAATTTATTACAATCATGAATAGTAATAAAATAGAAGGTTTCTTTTATGTAAGATTATAATTAAAATATTTTTTTTTGAAGGTGTATCATATTGATTTAATTTCTTTTTTAAAATGGTCCAACGATTTTCTATAGGATTCCAATTTGGTGATTAAAGAGGTCAAGATAAGAGACTAAAATTTTGTCTAGAAAACCATTATTTTATACTATTAGTGTTATGTATAGGTGCATTATCCTATTAAAATATGACTTTTGATACATCTAAATCATATTTTTTAATTATATGATATAAATGTTCTTGAAACATGTTTTAATAACCATATTAATTGAAGAAACTTTCAATTTTGTGCATCATGTCAAGTCTATGTTTTCACATACATCTCCATATTATTACAAATCCACCACTATACTTAGTAGTTGGAATAATAATCTACTCTGATAGTTCTTGTTGTCACGGACACAAAATACAGACTTGAAATCTAACAAGAAGTTCAAGAAGAAGTGGCAGAACTAGATTAAACAGATGAGTACAAGAACAACACCAGAAAGGTGAGCTAGAACTCCAAGAGATGTGTTGTCGAGACTGAAGAACTCTTCAGCCTCGACTCCTATATATACTACTGGCCTATGGTTCTAAGGAAGCGCATCAAGAAGCTTTCCAAGAACTATGAAGCTTCTCGAGCAACTACCCAAGAGCTAGGAAGCTTCTCAAGTAACTTCCTAGAATCTACTAGAATATTCTAAGAATCTTCTAGAGCCTTCTAAGGGAATCTTTAGAGAATCTTCAAAGAATCTTTAGAGAATCTTTGAAGAATATTCTAAGAGAATATTCAAGGAATCTTCTGGAAGTTTCTAGAGACTTCTTTCTAGAAGGTTCTAGAAACTTGTCTCTAGAAAGGTCTAAAGACTATGTCCCTAACATCACCTCCTCCTTTAGCTTCAAGGTCTCCGAGAAGCAATGTTATCGTCAGTCAATACCAACGCAAGAAAATGAAGATCTGTCGCATAACCTCTGCTATGAACTCCAATTGTTGTTCACGAGGCAAGTGATTCAATGGTCCTTGAAGCCAACGGTAGTGGCCCACGCCTTCAACTTCTGACCAAGCATGAACCTCCGTGTCTTCATTGTGAAATTGTCCTGCAAACACTCCTTCTAGCTGACCATTGTAGGCAGGCTCGACCTCAAATACAATCACCAGCGATCTGTTGCTCGGAATCCTTCGACGTCGTCGTGGTGCAGGCGGTTCTTCATCTCGCGGTCGTCTTCGTGAGCTAGTTGCTTGAGATGACATGACAAGTGTAGTATCTTGGCTATCCATATTCAAAGGCTAAAACAATAAGAACAAACTTGGGCTACTAACAAAGTTCTACGCTTTCTTGGAGAGAATGACTACATCAACTATGGATTTTGGTGGTGCTCTCTCCTCTTTTCTGTTTTCTGGATGAGCAAGCTTTAGTAAGAAGCTATCGTCGAACCGGCTTGGGTTTCTCAG